GCCCATTGAGTCGGAGGTTGTGAAAAAACAATTAAAATAATGCTAAATATTGTGGTCAAATGACAGAAACATTGTCATTGACAGACGGACAAAAGGGAACCAAACTGCAACAGCAACAAGAAAGAATAAAAGAGAGAGAGAGAGAGGGAGGGAAAGAGAGGAAGTGAATGAGAAAAGGCCAATGGCTAAGCGAAGGCAAAATGAACCACAATTAAAAGCTCTGGGTCTAAACAGGGTCAAAACAAGGTACCGCTGCCAATGGAGCACAAATGGGGTCGTCCCTCAGCAGACGGGGGGAGGGGCAAGGGCGCTCTGCTGTTCTGGTAGTCTGTGTGTTCTCGAATAATGAGGAAAACCGCAAAAATTACACAAATGCAAAGGCAGAAAGGCATAGAAAGCGTGAGAGAGGGAGGGGAAGGGGGAAAGAGAGGGAGAGAGAAGGTATTGCTGCACTGTTTACATGTGCGTGTTGTGAGCCTTGTAGAAGGAAATGTGGTAACATGAATAATTTCATTTTAATTTCCACTTATGTAATTGCTTTTTAAATGATTTACAAAAAGGAGTGCAATACACACAGAGAGAGAGAGAGGGGAAGAGAGGGAGAGTGAAAGAGAGCGAGAGCGAGCGTGCACGTCATTTTAATACAAATGGTGTTTAAAAAAAAGCAAATGCTGTCAGCTTGAAGGCAGACCCATAACTGTGGGCTGTGGGGGCGTGGCACAGCTGAGCACTCAGCCTGATGCGTGAGATGTTTCCATTTCGTTTGCTGGCCTAGCTCAGTGCGTTTTGCGGGTTTCTGTCCCTCTTTCTCCCTCTCTCCCTCTGTCTACCGCTCCACATCACTCTCTCTCCCTCTCTCTCTCTCTCTCTCTCTCTCTGTCTGCTTGGCTGTCAGTTTGTTTTAGTAATCGACTTATTCATGGCCTACAAGCGTCTCGGTTGTGCAAGGCGCGCTTGTCGCTTGTCTAAGGCGTCGCAGGAGCAGGCAGCAGGAGGCGGGAGGCGGGAGGAGGAAGGTGGGGGGCGTTGCCACTGGTCGGTCACAGCTTGGCTTGCCAGTGATTGCGATTTCGCATTCGCTTTGTTTTCGTTTTCTGTTGTTGTTGTTGTTGTTGTTGTCGACTATACGAGCCAAAGACGAGGACTGCGATGTCAGGATCTGTCATTACCGTTATTTATGGGGGGCGCATTTTAAAACCCATCAAATGTGGGCGCAGGGATGGACGGGGATGAGGGGACGGAGGCGCGCCTATAGCCAAGCATCCCCAACAAAAATGCTCAACCTCATCAATGCGAGCCAGTAAAATGGTA